GCTGCAGCTTTCGTTCGTTTCGTGTTGAGTTGGACTTCGAGGGCCATCTCAGTCAGGAGTTGTTGGTTTGAGGCTGCTATATCAACTCTTGTTGTTGGTAGCGGAGCCTCACGAGGCTGCCGCGGGGCATTGTCGTTTTTGGTGCATTGTTTTTGCATTGAGGCTGGCATTGCACATACATTGTGTTGCGTGGTGTTGGCATAGCATTGTGTTGACATTGCGTTGCGATGGCTCCCAAACAGCAGTCGAATGGTCCAGGGCAAGCAACCAGTTCGCAAGCTGCAGGACAGACAAATGTCCATAGTGGGGTGAGCACGGCAAAGCTCGACAACTATGTTCCTGTTTTCAGCAACAACATGCAAGACTACAGAGAATTTCGCAAGCGCTGTGAGATCTACAGAAAGAAGATGCAGTTGGGCAATCGCACCAACGAGGTGGTCTACAACCTGGTCACTCTGATGACTGGGAAGGCTTGGGATTTGGTCGAAGACATGACCATGGAACAAATGTCAGGTGAAGATGCATATGATCTTTTGTTTACACGGCTGGACAGAGGATTTCGATTCGATCCATTGACAGAGTTGCCGGACGACTTCGAGCAGTACTTTGTGAAACTTCAGCGAAAACCACACCAGACATTGCAAGATTACATGAATGATTACACCAGGTGTGAGAGAAGGCTGAAGGTGACCCACAATGTTGAGCTGCCGGAGAAAGTGAGAGCTTGGTGGTTCCTTCGACGTTCAGGTATCACGAAGGAGCAACGGCAGCTGATCCTCACGAATACAGGGACCACTGGACTGACGATTGAAGAGGTGATGAAGTCGATGAGCTTCATTTTGGGGCAAGACTCGACGCTACAATCCTCGTCGTCGACTTCGAGATGGTCAAGGCCAATGGGAAAACCAGTTGACACGTTCTACTGTGATGAGGACACGCAGTATGATTGGCCAGCTGGATCGGAAGATTTCGCCATTGATCCCTCGCCAACATACTTTGGTGAAGACTATGAGTGGGATGATTGGCACGAAGGTTCATCAGAGCAATTCGATGAGGTTGCATTGGCCGAGCATTGTGAGCAGGTTTATGACGTTGATGAATATGATGATGTGCTTGCAAATTATCAAGATGCCAAAGCACAGATGAACGCCCTTCGTACATCTCGTGGCTTCTATCCCGTTGTGGCCATGCTGCCGAGTGCTTCAGGTTCACATCCCGGTGGTAAGAGCCGCAAGGGCAATTCATCGAAGTCGAAGTCAAAAGGCAAAGGAAAACCAAGTTCCAAAGGAGGCAAGTCTGGAAACCCAAAAGGTCGTGCCGCAGCGGCTATGGGATCTGGACGTCAACTGTGCTTGAGGTGTGGCAATGCTGGACATTGGGCCAGAAATTGTCCCATGCCACCAGGATCCGACAAGAAGCGAAAGATTGGAGACGAGCCCGAAGGTGGTGTGAACATGGTTGAGTCGGTTGAGCCTCCAGTTGACACAACATTGTCAACAGAAGCATTCAACATTGACATTGAAGAGGATGATTTTGTTGGAGACGACACAGCAGTTCAGGACGGAGGTGCAGCATCGGTGTTGGGATCAGCATGTCAGATTCGCAAATACCTTCGTTTTCTGTTGGAACAGGGCTACAACATCCACGACATCCCAATGTTTCATTGTGAGAAAGGCTTCAAGTATGGCAATAGCATGAAGGAGACCACCAACAAGTGCATTGTGTTGCCCGTGTTCCTGAGCAACAGTCGCATTGATGTGTTGACGTATGTGATTCAAGGTACAGCTCCCATCTTGGTCGGACGACCGATGCTGGAGAAGTTAGGGCTCATCGTTGACTACCGGTCAAAACAGATGAAGTGGCCAGACACCGACTGGGAGGATCTCCCGACAGGTTCAAAAGGTGAGCACTTATTGCACCTTGGCAAGGACATCCGTCGATGCATTGCACAAGAACCCACCATGGTTTTGTTGCCAGAGGACGTTGAATCGCACGTTGGCGAACCTATCGAACAAGGAGTGCAGAAGTTGCTGGAGGAGGTCATGATTGCCGAGAACGCCAATCCGGCGTTGGAGCCCACGCAGACAGTCACGTCGGCTCACACACGTCGTGTGAACGACGGCATTGAGGAGATCGATACGGTCAAGCGACTTCACGGTCACATGCTGCGAAAGTTTGAGAGACAGGCGGAGGAGGCATGTCGTCGTGAGGACAAGATCATGCGGGTCAGTCAGACAATCAACAAGGAAACAAAATGTCGAGTGATTTGGGAGGTTTTTGTTGGTGAAGGTCGAACAACAAAGCATCTCTCCAAGTTTCCGCATGTCGTGACCGAGGTCTTCTCCCTTCAGACAGGATGGGATTTTCGCATCGGATCCCATCGATCCAAGTTCCTCCAGAGGCTTCGCGAAGAAGAACCAGATGAGTTGTTGTTGGCACCCATGTGCAAGTTGTGGTCGCCCATTCAGGAACTCAACATCGCGAGGTCGGAGAAGTACAAGCAAAAGCTGAGTGAAGAGAGGGAATACAACCATGATACCATCTTGACCATGTGTTCCGTTGCATATCAAGAGCAGTACAAAGCAGGTCGCAATGCAACATTGGAGCATCCTTGGTTGAGCAGAGCATGGTACACAAGGGCATTTGCTTGTTTGGAGGAGTTCAGCTATGATGCATACGTTGATCAATGCATGTATGGTTTGAAAGTTCCAGATCACCAAGGAGAGCCCGAGCTGGCAAAGAAACCGACATGCTTCAGGACAACAAAGCAGAGTCTAGCAGATGGACTCTCATGGGCTTGCGATGGATCGCACAGCCATGTTCCCATTGAGGGGAACGCTCCAGGAGGTCAGAAGCGCAGTGCATTGGCAGAGAGCTATCCAGAAGAGCTCGCAAAGCGGTTGGCATTTTTGATGCAGGAGGAGAACGAACCGGAATCCGTTCTTGCAGAGGAGGATGGAGATGTTGAGATGATTCCAGTTGAGCAACAACCACAGCAGCTGGAAGCACAAGCAGAAGTTCCAGATGTTGAGCAAGACATCCTCAAGTACTACCGCGAATATGCTGAAAAGGAGGTGGATTCAGTGACAAGCAATGCACAGCTTCGTACACAAGTCGGCAAGGCAGCAATGAACTATGTGGTGAGACTTCACAAGAATCTCGGACACCCCGGGACAGATGTGTTGTGTCGAATGCGTGAGGAAGTGCAAGCTACAGACAATGTCATGACAGCAGCAAAACGATATGTGTGTCCAGAGTGCTACATCAGGCAAGGCCCTGCTGGAGTTCCCCCAGCAGCTGGACTCACTGCCCGTGTTTTTGGTGAACGTCTTCTTGCAGATACAGCTTGGATTGACACCGATGACGGCAGAGTTTGTGTCATGACATTGATGGATCAAGCAACTCGTTACATTGCCATCCGGATCATGAAGAGTGAACAGTCGATTGACTTGGTGAAAGGCATTGAACGCAGTTGGATCAAGCATTTTGCAGTTCCAAAGTATTTGAGGGTTGACGAAGGCAAGGGATTCGCGGCACAATACCTCAGGGATTGGTGTTCAGAACGGCACATTGTTCTTGAGATTGCCCCTGCAGAGAGTCACAACTGGATTGGTTCCATTGAGAGGAAGCATCAGGTTGTTCGTCGTTGTTTGGAGATTTACATGCAGGAGCGAGGCCGCAGAGACAAGAAACCACTGTCAGAAGCAGCAACATACTGTCCAGGCCAGATCAACTCGTTGAGCTACACCAGAGGATTCACACCAGCACAGTGGGTTCTCGGACGGTCGGCTGCAGATACATACAGTTTGACATCAGCAGTGTTCAATCCCAACTTGTCTCCCATGAACGATCCCCTCGACTTTGACCAGATTCAGGCAAAACATCTAGCTGCACAGATGGCTTTCTTGAAGGCAGATTCTGATGCAAGGCTTCGTCGAGCAATGCAACAGAACTTCAAGAGGACAAAGCATCACATTGTGGTTGGACAGATGTGCTACTACGGGCGTATTCAGAGGTCAGGCATCTTGCAGAAGAACAAGTGGCGAGGACCAGCTCGCTGCGTTGCTGAGGAGAAAGACGATGAAGGAAAGCAGTTAGTGTTGTGGCTTTGTCATGGCACATCCCTCCTCAGGTGTTCACCTCACCAAGTCCGTCCATTGGTGAAGGATGCTGGACTTCACAAGCCCGTTGACACCCATGCGGCGCTTGAAGATTTGAAATCACTACGAGCCAGGAGCACCACCCAGTTCAAAGATGTGATGCAAAAGCCCGAACATGAGATCGAGGACCTCATGAATGATGATGAGAATGAAGAGTATGAACCCACAGAACCTCCATCAGGAGATGAAGGTGATCAAGCAGTCCCAGACTCAGAGATGCCTGGTGCAGTGTTGATGTATCAGCGTGGTCGCAATGATGGGACAACAGACAGACCAATGTCGACAGGTTCACCTTCCACAGATGTTCCTGAGTGCCCGCCTTCAGTTGTTGGTGATGAACACAAAAGGGAGGCGGAAGATGACATCTCAGAGTTGGCCTTGAAGCGTGCGAGAAATGCAATCAGCATTCCAGTCCCTGACAGTGATGAAGACCTTTTCATTGACGATGCCTACATCGTTGAGATGGAGAGTGGCACACTACCAAAGGGCTGGAGACTCATTGATGGCGAGTTTGAGCTGGATGAAATGTTTCTTGCAGAGGTGAGTGAGAAACGCATGACACTGGCTGAAAAAGAAGAGATGATCAAAGCAAAGCAACAGGAGCTTCGACAGTACTTTGACAACAAAGTGTGGGAATTTGCAGAGTTGGGACAGCATCAACGCAGCAGGTTGATTTCTGCTCGATGGGTGCTTGTGTGGAAGCCCCCAAAAGAAGGTGAGTTCCAACGCAGGGCAAAAGCACGCCTCGTTCTCAGAGGATGTGAAGATCCAGATTACCTCAACCTGGAGAAGGCTTCACCTACAGCAAACAAGACCTCAAAGATGATCCTCCTAGGGACAATCTTTCGTGGTGATGTTCGAGCCGCGCTCCTCAGTGGTGCAACATTTGATCGTGAGATCATTGTCAAGTTGCCGGCAGATTGTTCAGCAATGCTTGGAGCAAAGGGGCCCACGTTCATGAGGATGCGCAAGTCGGCCTACGGTTTGTGTGATGCTCCACTGTTGTGGTGGAGAGAGGCTGACCAGAGGTTGAGGCAGTTGGGGCTCAAGAGACACAGATTGTGCAAGTGCACCTACATGATGTACAACTCAGCAACAGCATTGGTTGGGTTGATCATTTTGCACGTTGATGATTTGTTGTTGAGCGTCAACATGAAAGACAAAGAAGCAGTGCAAATTCTACAGAAGGTCAAGTCCGCTTTCGATTTTGGCAAGTGGCAAGAGCTGAGTCAAAAGGAGGACATTATTTACTGTGGAGGCCGCATTGCAAAGAAAGGCGAAACAGTGAGTCTTGATTTCGAAGGCTATATGAAGAAGGTCTCACACCATCCGAGGTGTCAAAGGCACGAGCTCTCATCGGTGCCTTACAGTGGCCGGCAGGCCAAGGATGTCCCTACCTGAGTGCATCGACTTCGTTGACAGCATCAAGCATCAACAAAGCCAAAGTTGAGCTTCTCACAGAGTTGAACAAAGCATTACGTTTTGGCAAGCAAGCATCGGATTTCAAGCTCAACATGACAGCAGTGTGCAATGGTCTTGATGACCTATGTCTGTTGTGTTTTTCAGATGCAGCTTTCAATGTGAGAAGCGACGGCAGTTCACAAGGTGGATATGTTGTGGTGTTGACTTCGAAGCAAGCATTGAAAGGTGAGCATGTTCCCTACAGTTTGATTAGCTGGCGGTCATTCAAGCTCACACGTGTTTGCAGGTCAAGCTTGAGTGCAGAGAGTCAAGCTTGTGCAGCAGCAATGGATGAGTTGATGATGGTCAAGTCGATGATAGCATTGATGGTCGAACCAGACCTTGATCCACGAGCAGAGTCCACAGCCGCAGACTGTGGAAGTTCAGCGATCATCATCGATGCCAAGGCCTTGTACGACAGCTTGAAGAAAGATGGCATTGGAAGTTCAGCTGACAAACGAGCTGGAATCGAAATCCTTTGCATCAAAGAGGAGATCCACCGTCTCAAGACGGAACTCCGTTGGGTCAGTAGCGAAAGGATGCTGGCAGACGGGTTGACAAAGTTGCACACCCGACAGCCGATGGTTGAGATGCTTCGCAGTGGGTGGCTAAGCGTTGTCCACGACAGCAGCTACACAGCGGCAAAGAAGAAGGACAAGGAAGCACGTCAAGAATCTACTGCTCGGACCTTTGGATACACAAACAATGTTGCAGCACGCATTTCCATGGTTGTTGCAGCAAGCAGTGCACCAGCGGTTGGAGCAATGAATGAAACTGAAGAGCTGAGTGATTTTGAAAACACTTGGAGTGACTTCTTTTTCAGCTACATGTTTGGCGTGACGGTAGTGTCGCTGTTAGTTGGCATTCCCATGGTTGGCT